CAACGTATCTCCAACATGCCAGTCGTCATCGTAGCTAAGAAACATCCGATGCAGCGTAACAGTTCAGTAATCAGGTATCCGCGGAAACAGATTGGTATGACATAGTAACGAAACTGTAAAAAACCAGTGATCTCTCTATGGTCAACGCCTAAGCTACATAGCGTGGACCAACCGGAGATACAGAGTATACAAAAGGAGCTGCTTACCGGACGCAAGGAGTAACACCAGAATGTCACAGATAAACACGGCGCCGGTGCTACGGACCTCATACCTCCAACAGAAATATCCAGAGTGGCCGTGCGATTCCCGCAGTTCTGGGCCGAGCGACCAGCCATGTGGTTCGCCAGAGCCGAGGCACAGTTTACCTTGGCCGGCGTCAGCAGCGAGCAGACCAAGCTCTGCTATATGATCTCGCAGCTGGACCACCGGAACGCCGCGGGGGTAGAGGATATCATTATCTTTCTGCCAGAACGAGACTCCTACTCCACCCTGAGGACCGAGCTGGTGAGGCGGCTGTCCCCCTCTATAGAACAATGCATCCGCCAGCTCCTTACTCTCGAGGAGATGGGCGATCGCAAGCCATCCCAGTTTCTCAGTCACCTCGGGAGCCTCTCCCCAGACGTGCCAGACGGCTTCCTCCACAGCATCTGGTCCAGCCGGTTACCCCACAAACGTACAGGCCATCCCGAGGGCGACTTGGACATCGCGGTCCGCTGCGCGGACCACGTCTTTGAGGCCGCATTTCAGTCGGTGCTCGCAAGCGTTGAACTACTCCGACAACAACGCACTTCTGCAGCGTATCGAGGACCTCTCCTGCCAAGTGGCAGCACTCAGCGCCGAGCGGGCTCACCCTCACTCCAGCTTCAGGGCCCACCTTCGCTCCAGCTGCAGTGATCCCCGCCCTTGCTTCAAGAACGGTCGCCCGGGCAGCAGACCCCCCCTCCCGAGATGACGCTACATCCACCCTCTGCTGGTACCATCGCCGCTATGGAGCACGGGCGCAGAGTTATACTCAGCCCTGTGCCTACCGCCAGCAGGAAAAACTAACAGCGGACATCAGCGGCGGCACATGTCTGTGCTACAATCACAGTCCGGCTCTTCATCACAGACAGGATGACGATTCCTGGTCGACACGGGTTCTGACCTCTGCGTGTATCCCGCAGGCTCATTCCGTGACGCAAAGAACGCGTCAACTACGACCTCTGTGCGGCTAACGACACTACCATCCCCACGTACGGATGGCTGCCCCTCAGCCTCAACTTGAAACTACGCTGGGATTTCATGTGGCGATTCGTGGTGGCTGACGTCACACATCCCCTGATAGGCGTCGATTTCCTCTCCCATTTCGGTCTCCTGTTGGACTGCAAACGCAACCGCCTACTTGGACGATATCCTCGTTTTCTCCCGTTCTCTCGAGGAGCATGAGCAACACCTGCAGGCTCTCTTCGACCGACTTGAGAGGCACAGGATTCTTATCAACCCGGCAAAGTGTGTCTTCCAAGCACCCGAAGTAGCCTTCCTCGGTTACAAAGTGTCCTTCAAGGGCTCCCAACCTCTGGAAGAACGAGTATCCCATATTCAGGACTGCCAGTCTCCCAAGACCGCCAGTCAGCTCCGTTTCCTGGGCATGCTGTACTTCTTCAGGCGATTTCTGCCCCAGGCGGTGGCCCACCAGTCACCACTTCACGACATCCTCATCAGCCCCAGAGTCAGACACATCTCTGGACAGGACAGTGTTCTTGCTGGCGCTCTCTCTCATGTTGAGTCTGTCACTGCGCCCTCATCCTGCAACACACTGGCATTGTGATACCTCTGCCAGAAGATCCAGCTCCCCTGTAGCACCAAGTGCTCCAGTCTCTCCATGATCTGTTACACCCAGACACGACCTGCTGCGCCGCCACCGCCCATCACACGGACTACCTCCTGGACAGTTTGCAAACTGGTGAATGATTCCTTGAAATTAGGATGTACCTCAAATTTTCAATGGTGAAAAAATGTGAAAAATATGAATCTTATATTTGAAGTAGTATGGTACATTCCCATGGACCAAATATTGTAATTTTCACATACATAATTGCATTGAGGCACTATGCTACAAACCAGAAGGTCGCAGGATTGAATCCCGATGAGGTCATTGGATTTTTTTCAATTAACCTAATCCTTCCAGCCGCTCTATGATCCTGGGGTCGACTCAGCCTCTAACAGCAATGACTACCAGGAATATTCCTGGTGGTAAAGGGTGGCCAGCGCGTAAGGCTGACCTCACCGCCATCTGTGAGCCGAGTGTCTAGAAAATGCAAGAGCCTCAACTTCTCACAACCCAGTGGGCCTCTATGGCCTGTTACAGGGATACCTTTACTTTTTTTTTTACATGCATAATTGCATATATACAGAGGGGCCCAAAAAATATATACACATTCAGTATACAAAATACCCGCTTAAATAATTTACTGGTATATCTTTGGTTCAACTTTAAAAATGTCCATAGATAACTGTATGTTAAAGTGTGTTATAGAGGTTATCTATGGACATTTTCAAAGTTGAACCGAAAATATACCAGTAAATTATTTAAGCAGGTATTATGTATGTTGAAGTGTGTATTCATTTCTTTGGGCCCTTCTGTACATACACACACATCTGTATGTCTGTCTTCATGCATATATGCACGCACATGCACTCACACACAAAACCAACCCATGATGTCTGCTCAGTACAGTATGTTGGCCTTCGTTAACTTCTAGTGCTGTGATCGAGAAAAAGGAATTCCCATTACCAGCCACTCATTTTGTTGTGAAGCATCCAAACATTATTACTGTGGAACATCCAGACATTTTCAGATTAATCTAATAGTATATGATTTTCTAAACATTATTAATAGAAACATAAACATTGAAACTATATCCATTGTTCTGTTCACATAGACAGTTGGAGAAGAGGACATTCCTATGTGAACTATCTTCTCTACTGCCAATTTGATACATACATTCCCTGTTAAATACACTCTGTTAAGGCTCTTTTGCACAAAATAAAGAATTCCATAAGAACTACCTCAGAATACTGAATATCATGCTTTCAGAAAAGCACATATTATGCTGGGATCAACATTTTTAATAACCTGCCATCTTATCTCAAAGGTCTTATGAATGAAAAGGCACAGTTTAAAATAGCACTGAAATGATGCTTAAATACACGTTCATTCTACTCTGTTGATGAATACCTATTGTCTTGAAAATAACTTATGTATCTTGAAATAGCCTTGTATGTAGTCACTGTGTAGTCTTGGTTTCTCTTGTGTGAGAACTCCACTGGGATTGTACATGTGTTTTGTATTTATATGACATATTCCACATCATACATTCATTTTGACTAACTTTGGATCCATGGAGTGCAATGCAATGCAATGTAATGTAACATGTGGATTCATACTCAGGAGTGTTATTGAAGATCTTCAAAATTAAAAATTATATCTGTGTTTTCCAAAACAGGTCTCTTTTTATTCTCCAGTTTTTAGGTCAAGTCTAGATTCCACAAATTTTCACCTTTTGAAGTTTCAGAAATCAAACTGGTTGGATGACACTACCGTGAAATTACATGTCTTAAAGAGCAGAGCATGGAGATATAAAACACCTTAGTTGAAAGCTGTTGATGTTTTTAAAGATTTTTTGTTTTCATGTCAGTATGTAACTCTTCTCTCATGGACAATTTGGCATTGCTCCTGAAGCACTAATTGTGCAGAAGTGAGATTTGATATAAATTAGCATCATACATAGTACCAAATTTCATTTGTTTGAGTTTTTCAGGACTAGCACCAGAGGTCATGTTAGGGGCCATATATTACTCACTTCACAAAATTTAACCTTTGTCAGAGTTGAAGGAAGGGAAAGGCATGTGGAAATATCCACAGTTTATCTGCTAAGAGCAGATTCAGTGTGTGACATGCTTGCTACTGTTCCACTTAGAATATTTATCCCCCTTTATTCTGTCTAAAAACATAAAGATAAAGGTAATTATAATGTCTCATGTTTTACATGGGCATGAGACTTCCTCAGTCTGCGGGAAGGTTGAGTGTATTTGTGAACAAAGTGCTAAGGAAATACTGAACATGGAAGGCACATGATAACAGGAGGATGGGATCTTGTGAGAGGGAAATGAGAAATGTCCACAAAATTTTGGTCAAGAGACTTCAAAGAAAGAGTTGGTGGGATGATAGTAGAGAATTAATATGTGAGAATGTGGAGTATATCCAGCTTGGGATAGGGTGAAAACAGTGACAAAATTTTGGGTTCCATAAAATCATGGAATTTTTTAAGTAACTCAGATTTTCAAGGAAGGTCCTGTGCCATGGAGTTGGTTAGTGGCTTAAAAGGTGCTGCTTCTTGGTGTTTATTTCTTTTATTTTCTGACTTGTACACAGTGGACCCCTTAATAAGTGGTAATTAGTATTACATCACCAGAATGACCTGCTTGGTAATGACCTTTCTTTTCCTGGCAGCTTGTTGAGATGCCAGTCAGTTCTTGGAAATGAGTGTATGGTTTGAAACTTTCACAGCAACGGTATGTAGTGAAGTCTTCTAGGATGATGAGCTGTGTCAGTGTGGAGTTTGTTTCTGATGTTTTGGAGACTCTCTCTTCATCATCAGGGTTTGGCATCAGCCTCTGAGACACTAACTCCACATTGACATAATCAGTTACCCAACAAGACTTTAGTGTAGAACAACACAAGCTTCAGGATATCAGAATACTTAGGCAACAATTTTCAACAGATTTGAAGCATTTGTTTTTATAATTTAAAATGCTTGTACTGGATGTCTATTCATGAATGATTGCTCCATACATTTAAACTGGATTCTAAATGCCCAATAGTATGTCAGGTCCCGGTTATAATTTTATTTTGATTTTCAGATTAATGCATATATTTATTTAATAATATGATCAGATAATGTTGGTATCTGTGTTACCCTGTACAGCCAGTGGGTCATGATAAATATATGGTTTTGCAGAAATCTCCCCAGAAGTCGAAAGCACGTGTGGATGCAGTCTTCTTCCGTCAGTTACGTCATATTTTGTCAATTGTGATCCCAGGTCTGTTCTCAGCAGAGGTTGGGTTCTTGTGTCTTATTGCTTTGGCACTCATATCTCGTTCTCTCTGTGATCTGTGGTTGATCCACACCAGTACCTACATAGAAAAGTAAGTTTGCATAAAGTTACATAGACATTGAAAGAACTTTGTGACTGTTTTCCTGTAAATACGTTCATATATAACAAAGCCGAGATGAACATATGATTTATACAGGTACAGGTTTGTAAGGTCTTGTTGAGAGTTTCTGCTTGTTGTGATTTCTTTACTTGGGAGTACAGACAGCATAGCTTGAATTGTTCATACAGTGTTCAGCAGGGGACTGTGACAGTTTTTAGCCTTGTTAATGGGGTATAGAACTGAATAAAAAGACAACACTTTCACTGGTAAATCAATAGTATAATGGAATTCATTGGAGCATATTCATTTTTTTTAGAAATAACATTTATAAGTGATCCCCACACCTTATGATACATTCTTGAAATCTTGACAGGAAATTCTTCCTAACTCTTTGCAGTAATGCTGCTCTTATAATATCAGCAGAATAATTGCAGACACTGCTGATATTTTGAAAACTTTCCACTCACTGTAAGGACCCCCATACACACACAGTTTGGCCTCCAGTTTGGCCTGCACAGTTGAAGACTGAAAGGCAAAACTGACGTCTGTGGTGCGGCAGGCCGGCCAATTGTTTGGACTGTTGGCCTGTGGGAAACCCGTCAGTCCATCAGTTCTGCCTGCAGGACCGTAGCACGTGACGTGTGTGACTCAACATTATAGGCTGGAAGACTGTGATTGTGGCATGAAGCCTGCCGCTTTATCTGTGCGTGTATGGGGAGGAAAGGGAGGGGGTAAACTGTCACAGTTTTGCCTGTAAGGTCAATCGGAAGGCCAAACTGTGTGTGTATGGGGGGCCTAAGACAGTATTACAGGAATGAATTTGACCTTGTCTGTCACTTTGTAACTCATGCCTAAATCTCCTTAGGACCTCTACTGCCAACCTATGCTCAGTAAATATTTTAATGATGAGCACTTTGTGCCAATAGCAAGTTCTCCATGATTACTTATGACTGTACTATCTGAAGCAATGACATAGATCAGAGAACAGTTAGCACCGACACACCCTCCTGCCCTATCAAATTCATTCTTCCGGCTACAGCAGCACTTTGAAAATGTAATATTGCACTGCTACTCCCTATATCATCATTATGTTTGTGATCTTCAGCACACAAAGAATATTGCATTCAAAGTTTGAAGATGCATTTGTGCTCTGTCACTATCACACAGCAAAACAGAACTCTATTTCACAAGATCACAAAATTCTTTTACAATTTGTACAGGTATGGCCAGAAAAAAAGCTGCATATTTTTAAAATACCTGTGATATAGAGCTTTTCAGAACATGGGTTTAATCACCTTGTCAACTCTCATTAGCCTGAATTTACGTGCTTTTATTAGTATTTGGATTGTCGGGCAGTACTTCATTCCTGTATTCAGAGGTGTGTAAATGCACTCTCTCTCTTCCCTTCCTGCCCCTGTCTCTCAAACACATGTACACACATTGGTGCCAAAAGTTTTATTCTTCCCATGAAATATTTCTGCGAACTTAACCCTTTTTTTGCTTGCTGACAGCTCACAGGTGCTCTAAAATATAAAACAGCTCATAAGGCTGATTGACCTCCTCCGTGGTCTAGTGGTCAGAGTTTCTGGCTACATATCCAGAAGGCCTGGTTCGATTCCCATCACTACCAGAGTTTCGGAGAAGTAGTGGGTCTGGAACGGGGTCCACTCACCCCCATGAGAATAATTGAGGAGCCATTTCAAGGAAATAGTGGCTTTGGTCTAGAAAAACCAAGATTAATGGTCGGTTTCTGTTCCACTGACCATGTGACACCCTCTGTCCGCAAAAGTTGGCACTAACTTCGCCCACGAGCGGCTGTAGCTCGGTTGGTATAGTTCACTTGTGGACTACAGGCCACGGAGTTTAGTTTTTTTTTTATTTAGTCATAAAACCGATTGTCAATAAAAATCGTTCATGTAATATGTGACTGTACTCTGTAACAACAGTTTGGTTTTGGTTTTTTTTTCAGCGCAATTGTCAACGGAGATAGGAAATTGTTCATATCGAAATTGATTGTTTTTATAACTGCAATGCCTGTGGTAAGTTGCATGACATTTTTACATCTGTAGCAGAGCCTGGTTTAAATGAGCAGTTGCTCAGGACAGCTCACAGTTTTGAATCCATGAGAATTTTTTTTTTCATTGTACACTATATTATTAGTAACATGCTAGAAGTGTAATTAACTTTCTTAAGAGTTTTCTGTGAAGTGCAGGTCCATGTGTAAACCAGGTTTTGTACTAATGACTGGTGTGTCCTTTGAGTAGCATTCTTGTATATATCTTATGTCACTTGTAGTAACCTCAGAAACCAGGTGAAATTTTTGTTAGAATTTTGTAATTCTAGATATTAAATTAACGCAAAGAGAAAACCAGCCAGTTTTTGCAATGGCAAAAATGTTTGTCACAACTTTCAAGATTAAAGATATTCTATTTATTTGTTAACTGTGGTTTATTTGATGATGCTTGACTCTACAGCGTGATAGATTTATTAGTGAAAAATGAAGTGGAAGCTATGTGGAAGGAAGCAGTCATGGCCATATTTGATACATTGCCTGGAATCTGCTTAAAGGGACTGATTAAAATCATGAAAACCTTAATCAGGATATCTGCTACCGAGACCGAGATTTTAACCCTGAACCCCATGAATAAAGAGAAAATTAATGATATTTAATCAGACGTTTATGCCAGTGGATCTAACATTTAAAGTTGTGTTTAAATCATTTAAAAGAATCAAACCATCTATAATAAAATATAATTTAGAAGCCATGAGAGGGAAATGTATTGTAACTTGGTAGTTTGAGAGTAAGCCAAACAAGAAACCAATAGGAGGAGGCAGCACGCTGATCCTCCTTTTGTTGGTTTCTTGCTTGACTTAAATTTTTGACCTTGAAAATGGAAGCAGTATGTTCCTCCAAAACATAGGCTATCTCCAGACTAAACAGTGTTGTAACCCAGAAGACCATGCTGTTCATAGTCACCTCTGTGAGAACCTGTGTTTGTTTAATTTGTTAAAATAACACAACATTTCCTCAGGCTATGAAGACAGTGCCATATCATAGGTAAGATTAAAAAGTCACAACTTTTGCTAATAAATAAATATATTGAAATAATGGCAGTATTTCTCATTCATTTCTGTGCCGTAACACACTAGAATGCAGTGCTAAATCTCTTGGCATTCCAAATTGTATATTATTGTAAAGTTGCATGTATCTTCATCCTTTGTTTTTATTTTTATGAACACTGTTTAATGTGCATTACAGTTTATTAATACCATAATAAAAACAAGTAACAGGAAGATAAGATATTATGCTCCAGGATGGTCATTCTGAAAAAATGCAATATGTAACAGATATTGAAAGTCTGTGCAAATGCATTTCCCTATGGATATTTTCTTTTAGTTCGTCTGTTGAGGGGTTACTTATTTTTCATATTTATATATATATTTCCCCCTCGTTGGTGTCTCCACCAACGTGTCTCCACTTATCGTGGTGAGGGGGTTTGAGTATGCCAAGGACCCTGAGAGCTATACCAGCGGTAGCGTAGCTACTGGCAGGGCCTCCCTTGCTGGACAGGTCAAAGGGTAGGCATCAGACGAAGAGAGACACCAAAAACTGATGCCGGAAGCAGCGTCATCAGCAGCGACTTGAAGCACAGAGCAAATGATGCTCGAGATGGTTCAAGTTCGTATAGCAACAGGCGTGANACTTTTCCTGGATAGTCTCTTCCCAAAAACAGAAGATCGCATTAAGTGGAGGAACTGTTTTGGAAGAGGCTGTGGACCTGTCTGACAGATTACTCATGAATGAATGAATATATATTTAGCACTTATTCCTTCTTCACTTCAAATTTTGCTTATTTTTGGTAAACTTTATTTTGATAAATACCTTACACTATTTTATATTTTGCGTGTTTGTGGTTTCAACATTGTCTGTTTTTTTTCAGATCTCTTTGGTGAATAATATATTAAAAGTAAGTCCATTTTCAATTTTTATGCTTATAATAAACATGCATAGTAATAATTTGAGTATGTCTTAACATTCTTATCCTTATGTACAAATCTTACGTAAAGTTTTAAATTTTGTTTCCACTCCAAAAAGCACATCTTGTCTCTGATACAAAGGTCAGTCACAGTTATTGTAAATGTGAAATTGCCCCTGTGCTTAACTAATTAAGCAATACACCATAAAGACATGGGTGAGTGGATGTATAGATTCATGTTTTCTTGGCCTCGGTACTAGTTGGAGGTGAGTGGTCAGCTTCACGCCCCGGCCACTTTACCCCCGGGGAAAGAGCCTCCGTTAGCCATTGGTTAGTAGGAGGCTGGGTAGGCCCAAGAGTCTGTCTAGACAATTCTTGCCCCTAATGGGACTAGAACTCCTTGGTTGTCCAGCCTGTAGCCAGTCGCTATACAAACTGAGCTATCCCGGCTCCCCCAATCGTTTATTACATTTGGAAAAATAATTGCTGTTTATTCTGAAAACTAGGTGGAACCCATAAAACAAACTTTGTTGGTATAATGCAGAATTCTTGAGTGCTGGAGAAGGTGGGGTACATAGAGCTACTACTGTTCCTTAAAAAGTTGAAAGGTATAGAATTTGGAAATATAACTTAGGTAAAGTTTTCCGCTTCAGTTTGCTTATGAAAAAATCAAAACAGTAGTTTAAGGACTGCCTTTTGGTTAACTGCCTGTACAATCAAAATCATAAGATGAACAGCTGGAGGCCCTTTCTTGATCATTTTATGCCGGTATTCAATTAATACTTGAAACATATCTGCTGATTATAAATTCTCTGGTTAGTACCTGGTTACAATTTGGGGCCCAACTGTTGTTCCACAGTTGTTGTGTTAGTATCTGGCTGCTGTTTGAGACTGAGCCATTGTTTATAATTTTGTGCTAGTACTCAGTTGCTATGTGGGACTCGAGACACAATTTACACTTCCTGTAGCATTATATGGCTACCAGTTCAAACCCAACTATTGTTTCACATGAAGAAAGTCATCTTCTGGGTTTAGGGGCCGTGTATTCTTCATTTTGGCTGACGTTTCGGAGGTACGTATCGCCTCCATCTTCAGAGCAGGTGAATGGCTTGGAATGCAGAGCTGTAGCTGTAGCAGAGCTGAATGTAGCTGTAGTGATAGGAAGTGAAAGGCGCTGCTTATATACGAAGTAGGCAGGTGGGGTGGTTAGGGAGAACGGACCAATAGGAGCAGTGGAGAGTGATTAAGGCCATATATGGTGTTGGTGGCCTGTCCCCAACCAACCGGTTCTTCTTGTCTACCGCAACTTCCTAGTGCTATTGAACTCAAGTTTCCTGGATTCACCTGCCGTTCTCCCCCTCCCTTAGCACACAACACCATATATGGCCTTAATCGCTCTCCACTGCTCCTATTGGTCCGTTCTCCCTAACCACCCCCCTGCCTACTTTGTATATAAGCAGCGCCTTTCACTTCCTATCACTACAGCTACATTCAGCTCTGCTACAGCTACAGCTCTGCATTCCAAGCCATTCACCTGCTCTGAAGATGGAGGCGATACGTTCCTCCGAAACGTCAGCCAAAACGAAGAATACACGGCGCCTAAACCCAGAAGACGACTTTCTTCATGGTCATCGCCGTGAAAACCTCAAAACTTACATATTGTTTCACAGTTTTTGTGTTAGTATGTGGCTGCTGTTTGAGACTGAGCCATTGTTTATAATTTTGTGCTAGTACTCAGTTGCTATGTGGGACTCGAGACACAATTTACACTTCCTGTAGCATTATATGGCTACCAGTTCAAACCCAACTATTGTTTCACAGTTTTTGTGTTAGTATGTGGCTGCTGTTCAAAACCCACCCACAGTTGTTAAATTCTGTAGCAGTACTCAGCTGCTGTCTGATACTGTTTGCAGTTTCTGTGGAAGTACATGGCTACAAATTAATATCTAGTCACCATTTTACAATTTGGTGTTAGTATCTGGCTGCTACTTGATTTCTGTGCTGGTACTTGGCTACAGGTTGAGTTCTAGCCACTGTTTAGTGCATGGCCGAAATTCTAACCCAGGCATCTGTTTTATCCCCAGCATTTAGTGTAACTTCTTCTATGTATTCTGCACTTACAAGTGTTCTAGGCAAACTTTCTTCGTGTACTTGGGATGTGGACATTTAATATTATTATTCTTAAATTCTGTTCCCAGTACAGTATCGGGGAAATGAAACTTCGGTTAAGAACAAGACTAACACAGTATCTGTATGACCAGTACCTCAAGTAAGTAATGTATTTGTGTTTTAAAACCTTTCAATACTTAGCATGCTATTGACAATCACATCTATGGTAAAAATAATTTCAGTAAATCAGATCATTTTTCCATGTTTCTTGATTTTAAATTTCCTCTCACTTAGTTTTTGTTGTCATTTATCTGTCTTGCTGTTAATTATCCCCCTTTTAAATTTGTCTCTATTTATTGTCAAATCCATTATCATCATGTACATAGTACATGTATTAACGTAAAACATCAGATCTGAAAGTATGCATCTTATTGTGTTTGAACTTCAGCTTAGAATGTGCAAACTAATGTTAACTTGTGCATTGTCATGAGTGTACAAATTGGACAAGTAAGCAAAGAGAAAACTATGTATATGTTGCTGTCTTGTCACCAAAATGCAGGGGAAAACCATGACATAAAGGTAGGTAAAAGATTGTTTGAAAATGTGGCACAGTTCAGATATTTGGGAACAACAATAAGAAATCAAAACCTGATTCAGGAGGAAATTAAGAGAAGATTGAACTTGGGTAATGCTTTCTACAGTTCAGTCCAGAACCTTTTGTCTTCATGTCTGCTGTCCAAAAACATAAAAACTGGAATATACAGAACTAAAATTTGGCGTGTGGTTCTGTATGGGTGTGAAACTTGGTCTCTGACTTTAAGGGAGGAATGTAAACTGAGGGTGTTTGAGATCAGGGTGTGGAGAATATTTGGACCAAAGAGAGATGAAGTGACAGGAGGTTGGAGAAAACTGCATAATGAGGAGCTTCATAACTTGTACTCTTCTCCAAGTATAATTAGAATGATCAAGTCAGGGAGGATGAGGTGGGCAGGGCTTGTAGCACGAATGGAGGGGGAGAAGAAGAAGAAGAAGAAGAATGCATATAGGGTATTGGTGGGAAAGCCAGAGGGTAAGAGACCACTGGGAAGACCAAAGCGTAGGTGGGTGCACAATATTAAAATGGCTCTTAGAGAGATGGGATGGTATTGATTGGATTGATATGGCTGAAGATATGAACCAGTGGAGGGCTCTTGTGAACATTGTAATGAACCTTCAGGTTCCATAAAATGCTGGGAAATTCTTGAGTAGCTGCACAATTGATGGCTTCTTGAGAAGGGCTCAGCTCCATGAGACAAATTGGACTGTATATACTGTTTGTTTTGCATTTTGTTTAGTACAGAGATACTATAGGTTTGACTGAATTGCAGTGTGCATTTATTTATTTTTCCCTGCATTGCATAACAATGTGTAGGGCATTTCTTACTATTATAAGTCTAGTAAGTCAGCATGCTAATGTTACATCATCTAGCTGGAACAGTTGGTAACTTAATTACAACTTTTATGGAATAGTTTGAATTGATTTGCATTTGATTTGGCTTATTCTAAAGTACTTTACCAAGGAATTATAGAAGCTACAATCTTATATACTTTGTATAAACCAGGCATGTCCAACTTCAAACAGGTTGTGATTGACTTTTTAGTGTCAAAACTGCCAGTGATCTGCCACCCCATCCTATTGTCATACCTTGCTTTAAGCAAAAATATTGGTAAATATAACATGACAAATATGTTTATTGTAAAAGCAACATACATTGAAAGTACAGACTTACCTTGTTCGTTAGTGAGACATCTGGGCCTGCATTTCACCCACCAGCTGCTGGAAGTCAGGTGAGTATTGGGTGAGGGCCAGTTTCAGGCAATCCTGGAAATGTTCATCTGTCATTTTGGAACATTGTTTACTCTTTGTCATTTTTAGGTAAGAAAACGCAGATTCGCACAAATAAGTCGAACTGAAACATAAGTGTACAATTTCACTGCATCTTTTTAAGCTGGGAAATTTGTGTCTAGACACTAACTTCCAAAACGATTCTTGTCCAGCACGAGTCTTGAGAAAAATGTCATTTGTAAGGGTTAATATCTCATTTTCAAGGGATGCCTTGCTCAGTGGGTAATTTTCACAGATAGTAGCTGCAGTTTCTTTAATGTTTAAATCTGATTTGAACGGGAATGACAAGTACTCTACAACTGTTCTAATTTTTTGGAAGTCACAGAATCTATTTCTGAAATCTTGGATAACAGAACAGATTTCGGTCACATACTTCTCTGTCTGAAAAACAAAATAAGTATATTTTTCCAGATGGTCTTGCGTATTAGGAAAGTGCTCAAAAGTATTGTTTGTAAAGTCAGCCATCATTAGCTTGAATTTGCTTTTGTAGGATGAAACTGTACTCATCATCTCAGCAATGCATTTGTTTTTACCTTGTAGTTCAAGGTTCATATCACTTAGTTTACCTGTAAAAGCAGCAATAAATGCCAGGTCAAATAACCACTTCTTGTCTTCTATCTCTGCTTTCTCATCTCCTCTCCCCTTCAAAAACTGTTTATTTCACTAGCAAACTACGAAATTTCTGCAAAAATTTGTACTTACTCGGCCACCTTACATCTGTGTGCAAACTGATATCCGCTGCCCCTTCCTCAAGAGTTAGACTGAAAAGCCATCATTGAAGTGATTTTCCATGAAATGAATTTACAATTTTGAAAGCTATGTCCATAACAGTCTTTGTATTTAGTCTCTTACTTGCCAAAACTTGCTGGTGAATAATGCAGTGGTAAGAAAGGAAATTTCACTTTTGGGTGGAAAATCATCATGATACTTATTGCTATTGAGAGCATTCTTAATGACGTTCCAGATTACACTTTTTTGGCAAGGATACTGAGGCATTGCATTTTCCACTATATTGTGGTAACTGTTATCTGGCACACACACACACACACACACACACACAGACGCTTTGAAAATTAATAAAATAACGTGGGCAGAGCACTTACTGTCCCCTTGATTACACTGAGCTCATCCCTAAACACTATATTTGTTTAATGCACGGCAAAGTGACCAATCTCCACTAACAGCTAATGTAATAATACGTCTCACTTAATTCAACGTAAGGCGATTCACAGTTGACTGGAGGGAGGGAACGAAGTGAATCACATGTTCTGTCGCTCACTCTTGCATCAGAACCCATGCGGCTGACGAGTGATGAAGTAAGAGTTCACGTGATAAGGATAGAGTAGGGACTTCCCCACAGTTCACTTAACACAAGTGTAAATCAATTTTCATGTAAGCTGCATAAGAACAGAAAAATAGGAGTGACTAATATGCATTTTCCCTTCAAAATCTTAATATAATCATATTATATTATAAGTGAATTTACATGCTTTTCATGTATAATTTCCTTATAGGCCTAGGAGATCGACCAAAAATCGTCCCGCGATTGATGCATTGGACGTGCCTGGTATAAGCTATATGAGTATATATAATATAATAAACAAAAGGTTGATGAACAATTTTATTTTACATAATACTTTTGAAATATTAAAATGTTGGTTTCTAGCTAGTAAGTAGAAAGTCCAGCAGAAGAATTTCTGCTTGCTTGATTTTATTTTAATTATAATATAATATAACATAATAACTTGCTGGACTGCCTCAGAGAGACAGGCCAACTCACCCCGCCACAGACTGCTGTCTTGCCCAAAGTTGCTGTCACATCTGCTTGTCTTTACCTTTACCCTTACCCTCTATCCTTTCTCCCATATTGATAGGGCAGGGTAGGATGGTAGAAGGTCTTGTATTGGACACCAGTAAGCATAGGGGTTGCTTACAAATTGTGAAGTGCCTTCGGGGTAAAGATTGGTTAGGAGGTGGCCTAGTCTGCTCAGGATTGGTAGGCCAGAGATCTTATCACGTGGTCTTTACAGGTCATGCTCTGGCAGACAGGAAGAACACTGATGCTACACACCACCAATAATCAGCAACAACAGGTTGCACTTAAAGTTATTATTTATGAGGCACACTGAAGTTGTGGATACGGTAGCTTAGTTCACTAGTAATCTTGACTGTTGAATTCACTTTAATAATATAATCATTCTTATTGTTAGTGATCTAAAGTTGCTTTACTAAACTTCACTCTGTTAAGTTAATAACTTGCACTGGTGCAAAATGGGATTTAGTTCTTATAATTTAGAATGAGTGACACAGGTTTGTGATCATGCACTTCAAAAGCTAAAACCAGAGTACTCTGTTGGAATGAACTCTCTTGGAATAGAGGTTCCCTCCAAAATCCAGCCTTCAGTAAAGTTTCATCCTCCAAACCTACCTTACTGGCCTAGTTCAAAATCTTGAAGTTTTTCTAAATTTATATCTCCCAGTTAACAATAGGTGTTATGTGAGTGACTTTGGACATAAAATTCCAAATGGTGTTTATGACAGTGCTGTGATCTATAATGGTCATTGCACAGGTCTCCAGCATGCCTTCTTCTGAATTATGACACTCAAAAGATACAAGAGTTACATTTCTAAAGATGACATTGACTGTTCTGAACATGTGAATTTCCAAGAAATGGGTGGATGGTGCATCCACATGCACATGATTATAACAACAATATTAAGGATGTCATTTAGGTGGGAGATGTTTTCTGCCCAGGAATCTTTGTTGTACAATAAATTCATCATTTTGTTTTTCTGCAGGGGATTTACGTATTATAAGATGAGCAATTTGGACAGCCGCATATCAAATGCAGATCAGCTGCTCACCACAGATGTGGACAAGTTTTGTGATACAGTAACAGACTTGTACTCAAACATCAGCAAACCACTGCTTGACATTGTTATATATGTATATAGGCTTACCACACAGCTTGGAGGAAAGGTAAGTGATGCATGTTGTTGATCCTATATCCTATTGTCTTAATTTTACAGTCACTGTGGATGGGGTTTGGATTGTTAATCTGATTTATTGCACATTTATACAACTCATTACAACACTTCACAACCCACATCACACACAGACTTGTGTTATCAGTCTGTTACAGTCTTCACTGACTGTTTGCTTGGTAGTGGCTTCCAACAGTGAACATTCCCCTTCCTCTGGGTTCCTGAACTGTCCCCGGCCTCAGCTACCAGCTTTTCACAGCAGCAACTTACAACATCTGAAGACGAGCTGTTATCTGACTCATTCACTAACTCACCAGCCAGCCTTTTGCACTGACTAACTAACTTGTCCTGCTTATAACAACCCAGCATGGACCACATAGAAGACACCACTCCTCTGTTGCAGTGCAGTTGTTGCTGTGAAAGTGTTGCATTTGTTTCTGTTGGCAGAGCCATTACTTAGGAACAGCTGTTGTATAGTTGTTTATATCATGGTCGTTGCCTAACAACAGATCTACATGCTACAGCGTAATTAAGAACAGAGATGTGAATTATGTTCTCAAATAAATTTGTCATAATTGTAAATAAGAAGTCCTGGCTAATATTTGCAGTTTCTCTCCTAGTAGTTCGCTACCACTGACACAGTCACATATTTAAGGCTAAACGTTTAACTGAAAATTATATGTAATGGGTTCCAAAATTGTTACTGATTTAAATTAATGATATTTGTGCTTGTGTTTGATTTTGAGATAAATAATTTGTTTAAAGTATTGTTTCCTTTCAAAAACTAGTATTAATGAATAATCAGGTAATTGTCTTTTCCTTTCAAAAACTAGTACCAACAGAATATTGTTGTATTTTAGCGTCCTGTTGCACTGATCTTCGTCCATGATATGTAAGCAGGGTCCGTCTTTTAGCGCACTCAGTTTTACCTGTCACTTCACAACATGTTTCGGCACTACAGTGCCATCATCAGGTGCTCCATGTACGTCACTCTATTTCATTGCTTGCCATTACGTCGTAAAAGGTAAAAAGTATTTAAAAATGTTCATCAATTATAATAAATATATATATACTAAAAACTTGTTAAGATTGTTTATCTTATCTGTCCCAATTCTAACACCACGCATAGTTTCACCACTATGGGAGTCATTCCTCTTATTCTCAGGGTATATCATGTCTCGTGTTGCGTGTTCCCTGTTTGGTTGTGGGTGTTGACAACACCCGCAACCAGACAGGGATGAAATAGATTGATGTAAATGGAGCACCTGATGATGGCACTGTAGTGCCGAAACATGTTGTGAAGTGAGAGGTAAAATTGAGTGCACTAAAAGATGGACACTGCTTACATATCATGGACCTACAGAATAATCAGATAAACACTAATTGGCATCATCTTATACTCTTAGCTGTGGGTGGCTGGTTACTGTGGGGAAGCTATGAAGTGTTAACACTTTGTTTCTCATTACCCAGTTAAAGTTTAAGCCCTGACTGCTGTTTTAGCCCCAACATCCAATGTGGTATTTGTAGTAGATTATGAAACCTCTATGCAGCAAAATCCATATTATCATTGGAAAGTTTAATAATGGCTTATAGCTTCATTGTATAATTGTTTATGTATTACAATCTAGATAAACTGATTAAGATGGGTTGTGTGAGTCTTCCTAAACTGTATCAGCTAGGTCAAAATTTAATATCTGTTGGACAAGAAAGGATCATCAATTTTCAGAAAACTCTGATACATTTCAGATGCGTTTAATTATACATTAAGCAGACCAGAATGTTTCAGTAAAAGTTTGTAATATGTAGTATTATTTTACTCACAGTTTCTTCATGTAATATTGTTCTTGAGATAATGTTTGTCCTTTCCTAACACAGTCTAGAGTATGTTTAAAGGAACATCAGTGTCTTTGTTGATTTGTGGCTGTATGAATTTTAGTTTTAACTTTCATACCTTGACCTGGGAAGAAAATAATACACTCGTGTCAGGCTGTACAAGGGCCTGAGAGTGAGGCTGAGTATGAAACCATAATGCAAGGATGGTATGTTCAAGTGATAATAGTATTCCAGCCTGTAAAGCATCCTGTCATTGAGGACAAAAAACATATGAATTAAGTAAAACGGACATGTGTATTCCATTGGTTGACCACTCTCAACATTTGTAAATTGTTTTTAATTTGAATATGTACCATCTTAATGTTGCCAGGATAACATAGTCAGTATAGCGACTGGCTACGGGCTGGACGACCGAGGAAAGTCCAGAATATTTCACACAGTGAAATACTTTGACATGAATGACCAGAAGAGTTGTATTTACAGTGAATAATTAATTAAATATTTGATGTATTTTGAGAAGCATTTTCTGATTTAAAATTTTCAAAGATTTTGGCTGACCTCTTGACCTTCCAAATCTGCCACTGTTGTCCACTGTTGAACATGATTATAATGTAAACTACTCTTCTCCATATTATTTATAATGGTTTCCGTTTTGGGGGTGTTCTTGTCTGATGCCTCTTACCAATATTATGTTTTAAGGGATGTTTATTTTGAAATATGGATCCAGTGTCAGTTTATATTGTTAAATGATATGTGATATTTAGATGCATAGAATTTTTAAATCACCATTTTATAAAACTAGACACTGATTATAATTTTAATGCATTGACAAACACAGGTCAGGCTTCTGGCCTCCTGCAACCTTCTTACTTTGTACAGAATGTGTTAAATGACTGTTGGACCTTGTATGCAGTTTATTTAATTAGTAACTAGTAGTTGCGCTAATTGATTGAATTTAGCCACACTTTACAAACAAGTCAGTGGGTGCATACAGGAAGATTTGTCATATTCAGTTGACTCCGACTACATAAATCCTCCTCAAGCTGCCACTGAGTGAAACTGACACTTAATTTGAGGTCCTGAAAGGATGTATGGTATTAGGTTAAAAAGATACAACATTTATTAGATAATAAATTGTAACTACATGAGCTCTGTATTTAACTTTCACTTTTACAATGGTAGCTAATGAACTAACTGAAGCTAGGCATATTAAACTCTGTACATAGATAGTTCAGTACCATAATAACGAATTTTGTATGAAATATTAATTATATATCAACAATTAGAAATCGGACCAATGTAAGTCTGTGTGGTTATTTCCAACAGCTGTAATGTAGATATCAGTACTGCTGTACTGAAGTAGTACATTCTCTTCCTCCCCCTCCTCCTCTTCCTGAGAAGGAGGGGAACATGATGGTGGTGATGATGACGATGATGACAAAGACGACAATGGCAAGGATAATTTTAGCATATTTACAGTTGCAAGCAGTGAAAAGATTTTTTTTGGACTAAGATTCAAGGGTATGTTTATGTGTGCAAGTCCAACATTTAACCTCTCGACTGAATTTACATTTTATTGTTGGATTATAAATTTACATTTCCTAATTATGACATTAACAGTATAAGATTTGTGGGGCAGGAAGTCTCTGCAGTACAAAAGTAGGCTGTATCTCTGCTTCTCGTAACTAATGGAGGACAGAAAATTAAAATCTCTGTATCATGAAGAAAGGCATATGTCTGTTAGAATTGTCTTAGAGGTATTTATGCGTATAAATAAATGTTGTAAAGAATTGGTAGTTTGAGAAGCAAAATGTGAAAGTGAGTTGATGGTCAAGGCTTTGATCACTGCTGTTATAGTTCATGTAATAAATTGGGACTGTTTTGTATCAAATCTGTTTGCCTACAGACACCATCTTTATTGCTTGCCTACCTCATCATCGCAGGGTGGTTCTTGACATATCTGCGTCGACCAACTGGCCGGATGACGGTCACTGAACAGAAGTTGGAAGGAGAGTTTCGGTACATCAATTCCCGTCTGATAACAAACTCTGAAGAAGTTGCCTTCTATCAAGGAAACCAGCGGGAAAAGCTAATTCTTCTAGCATCATTTGAAAAGCTGGTTTGTATTATAATTGATGATTCAATGTTTTAGCTTTTAAATGCTATTAACAGATTTTTTTTTTTGTCCAGGTACATGCATATTTCACACCATGACATACTGTGGTAAAGCTCCTTGTTTGAATGCTGGCTTTGCACCCAGAAGAAGCTGACAAAGAAAAGACATGAAAACAGCATGCATTTCATACAATAAAATTATCTTTGCATGATCTGCAACATAAGTAGTCACATACAAGGAAGGTTAGGAATGCTTCTGTTTCCACATTTCCATGGGACAGAAATGCATTTTGAACCTATAGGTTTTGATTGTAAGTTTTGTATGAACAATAATTCAAACTAGCATACATTTTTAAAGCACACTGTATACAGGTATAATGGCAGGATAAGCAAGATAGGGCAGACAGAATTGTAATTCTAGTATTAACTTACATCAGCTTTTCTTTCAACTAAGGTTAGTTAGTTAGTTATTAGAGAGGGTGGGTTTCCCCATGCACTTAGACCTGTAGTGGTCCATTGTGCTTCCCTCTATGATTTCTACCAGTCTCTATATCCTACCGGTATTGGTGCTTACCATCAGTCCTGCCCAGCCAGCGAGACCGGCTCTACTGGCTGAGAAGTATCTATAATGCTTACCCCATCTACCGGAGGTATTAGTGACTGCTGTTGGGCGGCAAACGTCCGCAATTTTGGCTCAGTGACCTCCTTTGGAGGTATGAGGTTCTTTTACGTGCCGTAAAGCTACGACACGGGACCCACGGCTTAAAGTCCCTCCCGGAGGACTTACTCCCTGGACTTTTCCACCCTTAAAAATTTGACGACCTCCACCGAGTATTTGAACCCGCATACTACGAGTCATGAGGTGGGAACGTTTTGTCTAGACTACGGAGGCCGCTTTCAACTAAGGTTACTTTTTGTAATAAGGTGAAGAGCCTTTCTTTATCTTTAGTGCATTGAAAAGTCATTCTGTGTCAAATCAACAGACATGCAACATTCATCCTCTCCTTTGGATTTCAGTGAAGTCTGGGTGAGCTTGTAATTTGTAGATGTGATTGAATGTGTCAAAGTTTAGTCCTCTATACATTATAGTTTTTTTTTGTGGTAGGCATTCAGCAGCATGAGAAGGGTATTTTTGGTGTCACAGAATTTCTCAGCATTTCTCTAGCTCTGGCCCTAATTAAACTAGAGAGTTATTTTTGCCCTCATTTGGAAGCCAGTGAATACAGTTTGTAATAACGTGATTATCACATGTCCAAATTTAACATAGGTCAGCTTCAGGATTTACAAATTTAATGTTTGAATGTGAATTAAAAATGTATCCTTAAAGTCCTTCAGAAGAATATAATACATATTGTGGCGTATTTACACCATGCAGGAATCGTTGAGCTACAGAAATCTGTAAACATGACTATTTCACAACAATAAGGAAAGAGGTGTTTTCTCCAAGTGGAGCCAAGCCAAGCCCAGCCCAGCCACATCTCGCTGGTTGCTACACACCGTTGCAGTAAACATCCCTCGGCAGCAAAGAGTGTGTGTAACTAAGTGGTTAATAAACCCAATTACCAATCTGAACGGCATCTTCAGTAGCCAATCACACTACAATATATACCCATTGAATCTTGATGGCACATGAAAGGCATCATTAGATAATTTGTGTTATCATTATATATGAGTCTTCTAAGAGAGCCCATGGAAACATTGTATTCCTGTTGCAGTTAGCTGTAATGGATGTTCTTGAACGATCAGCTACTTATGAAGACTGCTCACCAAGTAGAAAATAATCTGATCCCAGTGTGCAAGCAGTTTCTTGTATGTACAATTGCTGATGCTGTTGAATTTATCTTAAGAATTAAAAATTAGCCTTGTTTTGACAAAATGGTAACTTTATCATGACTATAAATCTGTGAAGTCTCTTTTTCCATGAGCCTTGTTTTGAAATCCTGCAAGTAATTTTGTTATACTTTATGCAGAACATTACTGAATACTGTGTATAAAAATGTGATACAGTGGATTTTAAAACAGTTACATTGCTATGAACTCTGTGGTGATGTTTTTGACATTAAGTGACCTGAGAGTATGAATATGTATTTCTACATACTGATGGCAGAGACATCTTCCATAATGGCAGAATTATCAGCAGCCTTCATACACAATATACCACAGAACTGTAAAAGTATACAGGGTACATGTAACAGGTGCATTCTGCAGAGGTAATTATAAATGATATGCTAACATCCATCCTCTGAAAATTACTTGGAAGAAAAGAAAATGTAGCTGATGTGAGAAAGGGAAATTGTGCAGAACTATTAGGCTTATTTTGGACTCTATCCATCGTCTGGTATATATAAGACAAAAAACTGCAACGTTTCGGAGACTGGATCTGTCTCCATTCTCAGGTGGATGGGGTAGGTTAGAGCTACTTAGTTGGGCCCGTTAGAAAGAGCTAGTCTCAACCACTGGACCAGCTCTTTCTAACAGGCCCAGCTGAGTAGGTCTATCCTGTCCCAGCCACCTGAGACAGATCCAGTGTCCGAAACATTGTGGTTTTTTGTCTTATATATACCAGATGATGGATAGAGTCCAAAATAAGCCTACGGCATACACCATCGTCGGAAACCTTTCAAGGGAAATTGTATTCTGTAATTTTGGAGGCCTTGTTTTATATAAAATACATGACTTGGGTGAAGATGAACTGTTTTCCCAGCTGGTTATTGTAGTTTTATTCAGGAGGTGCTCAGTTCAAATCTTGGCCAGGTCACTATCCTGACCAAGGTTCTTTCATGGTTTTGCTCAGTCCCTACAGGCAAATGCTGAAATAGTACCTTGATTAGGCCTTGATGACTTCTTTCACATTTGTCAGCCATCACACTATACCAAGCTATATGTATTCTCTTTTTTTCCTCTCCCCAAATTTTGATATTTTGCTGAAACAGTTGAGACATTTGTTCTCATGCAGCTAGACCTATCATATTTGAAAATAAAAGACTTCAGCAGCATGATCAGTTGAATATACTAGAGAACAGCTTGTAAGAATCATGGTAAACTGAAAATAATATTACGTGTACACACATTGCTAGGCAATAGGTTGGTAAACAAGTTCACAGAAGACAGATTCTTGGTAAACAGTCCATTGCTAGGTTATGCAACAAATCTGACAATGGAAGAAGTGTTTTCAGTATGGTCTGCACCATGCACAGTGCTAAGCAACAGAACTGTAATCATGCCTACAATAAGTGTTTTCTGTGGGGTCTGTGTGGAAGGATTATAGGGGTCAGTGAAGGTCGTTTGCATTCAGTCATAGCTGAGAAGCCGTGAGTCACGGACATGACATCGTCATGGAAAGGAGTTTTGAAGACTCAGCTGTTAAGTGTTAACAGACATTGAAGACATTGTGTGCTGTAGTTACAGTAATCTTGAGAGTGTAAGAACTAATTGTAGTTACGACTAGTGAAGATCCAATAAACCAATTCACCAGTCCAAACCCACTTCTTAGTCACTGATACATGTGACAGCTGGTTTCAGGAGTTGGATGGACTGGATCGGAGTGATTGATTATTGGATTGGATTGGATTATTACAGTGCCATTTGACAAAAATGGAAAACATGGGATTCCTGAAAGCCATGCTGGCCAAAATGAACACCAACATGGAAACCAATCAAATGATGAAACCTAACCAAGAAAAGGCTCATGCCAATACAAAAGCAATGCAAAGGAAGGCTAACACAAATGTAAAGGAACTAAAGGAAGACATAAGAACTAATCAAGCCAAGACAAATGTAAGTCTAAAGGAAATGAGAAGAAATCAAATCTGGCCAGACAGAAATGAGATCCATAGCTAATGCCAGGATAGTGAACATGAAGGATGATTGAAGAGAGAGTGTCCTGCCAGGTATGATGGAGGAGTGTCAGGACAGTAAGGAGCTAAATCCAGAAGACATGGAATCCGAAGTGAACCATTGGGAGGTCCCTATGGATGAGGCGGCAGTGAAATATTCGGGAACAGTGAAGAAAAGGGCACAGGGGCTGGCATCTAGCTGCAGGAAGACAAGGAGAGCCAAAGGAACTGACCTGAAGAATTTGTGGATCCTGGAGGAAGTTGGCTGTTGCCTGCAGGAAGGTGTCCCACCATGCAAGGGTGGCATGGTGCAAGAGGAACATCATCAGGAATAAGTGGACTGGAGCCCAGGATGAGTGAGGGAGAAAGTGTGGATGCGCTACAAAGATGAAAGGGAGTGAAGAATCTAGGCGGTGAATGGCTGTGATGTCTGAGGAAACAAAATCTGAAGAATCTGATGGGAAAACATGGGAAATGTTAATGAGACTGCTAGGAAAACCATCAGACTGGAGTTCATGAAGAAAGCAACCAGAATGTCCAGCGGGTTGCAGGAAATGAGGGACTGGGCCTTGTGGAAGGGTCAGCACCCTCCGGAGCAGAAAATCAAGGACTGGGCATTGTGGAGGGGTCATCCCTCTCCAAAATGGAAGAAGAACCCACTAGCGGCATCAACATAAGAGCCGGAAATGTGGGAACACCAGCCATTTGGGATATTTTTGCCCCCACCATCGGAAAGAGAAGAAAAAAGAAAACCTTTGGATTATGGTGAGAACCTGGAGTAACCGGAACCTTATAAGGGAACCGCTCAGGACTAGCTGGCCTTAAGGAGGGAGCAGTGGTAGTGGTTTGAGAGCAGCCACCGCAGAAGAAAAAGAGAACTGAACAATGGGAAGGGATATGAAACCAAGCAGAGACTCAGGAAGGAAGAGCAGGCAGTACTCCTGTGGGCTGTTTGGGAAAAATAGCCTAAAGGAGGGAGCAATGTTAAATGTACATCCATTACTAGGCAACTCCTGCAAAGACAGATTCTTGGTAAACAGTCAGTTGCTAAGTTACGCAACACTGATACTGATACTGTCAATGATACACGTGACAATATTAATACAGGAATCATGTTTCTTATATAATCTCATAATCCAGAGAAATCCATTCTGTACAAGAAACAAAAAACTGCTCACTCATTTATGACCTGCTTCATAAATTATTCCATTCCTATAGTAACCTGGAGTTGCATAATTTCAGAGCTTTCCCTCACCGTCACCAAACACGCATGCGCGCGCACGTGTGTGTGTGTGGGGAGGGAGGGAATTTATACATTTAATTATTATAAAGAATAAGAGACTTAGGTAAGTTATTGTCAATCTTGGGAAATGATTTAGGTAACACATTTGTAAAGTTGTGACTCACAGTAATGGAGAGGTGGTAGTGAACTTTCCATTGAATGAGTTGTCTGTATATCTGGTAATAATTATCTGGACAGGTATTTGTCATTTTTTAAATAGTAGACCATTTGATGAATTTACTCAAAATTGTGGACTACAAAACAGTTGCTGGAATGATATTTTTGCTGTTCTTTCTGTTCAAAGAGATGTTATTAAATGACTTTTAAAAACAGAACCTGAGTGTGTATTCTTGTATCCATGTATTATGAGAATGATTTTATTACTAATTTTTTGCAGACCAGTCACTTAAGAAAATTCCTGGAGTTCCGTGTTGGAATGGGAATTATGGATAACATAGTTGCAAAATGTAAGTCTGTAATTGGAATGATTCTGCCTTCACCTACTAGACCTGACCAATTTTAATTTGAAGTAATGTCATTTGTTCTTTTTTTTTTTCTTCAGACATTGCAACTGTGGTTGGTTTTTATTCAGTGAGTATTCCCTTTTTTGCTGTTGGGCACCCACTATTGGCAGGATGTGGGAAGGTAGAAAGATTCAGGGTGAGTTATTGTTCTCTTTCTTAACTTGTGTTATATTCTGAATCTTTAGATAGACAGAAATGTGGTTGTTCACATGTATTCATGCTGATTTCTATCACTGTGACAGTATATTGGGTTTACAATATTATATTTAAGCATCCTGTTGCACTCCATACGATAAATGATATAATGATACAAAAATATATAAATATACAAAATATATAAAAAGAAACAACGATTAAACACACAACTCTATCACATTGACATACACAATGCGAACACATGGCAACGAACATGGAATAACATCGAACAATCAATAGAAGAAAAGTTACAACAAGATATAGAAACAACATATCTAAAACAACAACAAAAAACAAACAATATGAAGAAAACACAAAATATAGATATAACAAGCAAAAACATACAATACACGAGAGTAGTGAATCAAACAAATATACAATTTACACACGAAGAAACCCAGTTACTAAGTAAAGGCCTTAAATATAATCTACATCACAAGAATAAAAAATGGATTGAGACATTAGCCCTAGAAGCTGAAACAGCAGTAAATAACCTAGAAATAACAGAACAAAGTCATTATAGACATCTAATTGCGAAGAAACTAAAAGATATACACAAGAATAACGAAAGGAATAAAACCAATAAAGACAAGAAAGATAAAAGGGAATGGAAACAAATAATGAATATAAAAAATAAAATTGAAGAGAATAAACTTATTATAATGAAAGCAGATAAAGGAAAAACACTAGTAATACTAACACAAGAAGAATATAAACAGAAAATAAATATCTTCATACACAATAACCAATTCATAAAAATTGACAAAAATCTGACCC